GTTACCTAAATGTAGAAGTATTATACTTGTAGCGTCAGTATATTAAAATGAAAAGAAATAAAAAATGTGAGTCTAAAGTAATTATTTTGTTATAAATATATATCATATTAAGCTGAGTTACAACATTTACAAAATTAATTATTTTGGCAAATTAAGGTATGCTAGAAGTTTTTATATTTATCATTATTAAAGAATTCACTTTTAGTGAAAGGCTTACTATCGAAATAATCCAAAACTTGGCAATCACACTCGCCACTCCCCAAAACCGAAGGGCTCAGATAAAACGTATATTTATTGGTGGGGTGGCGAAGAGAAATACCAGAGTCCAATCACCTTCACGCACTTTGCATAAAGCGATAGCCGCGGACAAAGGGGCCCAAAAATAGATTGCAAAAATGGGAAGACAAAAAAATATATTTACGCATATTGAAATCAGCAAAGAAATGATAATCCAATTTTCTATGAGGTATATCAGGCTCAGAAAAAAAAAACAAAGCCACGACCCTTTTGGTATGATATAATCCCGAAAAACTAAAAATCCACAAAACAAAGCGTCTACGAATGTGTCAATATAGCTACAAAAATAAACAGCAATTGAGGAGAGGCATCGAAATAGAAAAGGGGCGGTGCAATACCGATTACGATGGGCTGTGGTCATAGGACAGACGATACAGGTTGTTGTTAATCGTATCGAATCGATTTGATTGTAGTTTGTAGTTTGTCTTTTCTGTGTATTCCCGTCTGGCGATGGTGACAAATGTCAACGAACAGCGAAACGAACCGAACAAAAGGTTCGATCAAGATTTCAAATTGTCTATTGTTGCCACAAATCGTTGGGGTGACAATGGGCCAAAAGTAGCCCCCAAGTAGCCAAAAAAAAAAAAAAAATCGAAAAGTTGCTGCTGAGGAAGATGCTCGCCGAACGGTACTTTCCAAAAGTCCGTCCCGAACTCCACTTTTTGGTGGCCATTCTCTTACTCTCGCTTGGTGTTCCATTTATAGTCAAAGTTCATGTGTCAGGGCGTCGGATAACGAAATCGATTGGCGGTTAAACACCTTCATCTATAGACAGAAATTTCCTTCTTTAATAAATCTGTCTTTAATATTTTTAATATATTTTGGTATTTAAGGTTTACCAGAATTATAAAATGTATCATTATTAGAACCTAAAAGCCGGACTGGATAGTAATTTATTGTTAAATATTTTGACAACTTGACAACTATTTAAAATATTTCAATATTTAGGCCTTTCAGAATTAGAATATGTATCATTATAAGAACCTTAAAGACAAACTGAATGGTAATCAATTGTTAAATATTTTTACAATTTGATATTTCAGTTTCTGTCATTTTATATTAAAAATAAAAACCATCTGGCCATTTTGTATTTTTTTTTTTATTTTACATATTTCTTCAAATCGAGGGCTGACTGTAAATTTGCTTATCTCAATATAAGAGCTCCTAAGGCTCTTTGACAAACTTTATTTATGTTTTTCTCCACGCTCGACCGTTAAGTTAACTGCACATTTGCTTTGTTTGACTTATTGTTTTAACGCCGTGATCTCTGATCTCGCGACCCTATGACATGATTTGTTTTTCTTCGTCACCATCAAAGAGAATGTTTTAATTATTTCACAGCCAAGAAATCCCGGGACAAATCGACTGATTAATGTCCCTCTTTGAATGCCTTCTCTAAATTTAGGTATCTCCACTTGTCTTCGTTGCCGATTTGCCACGCCCATCGATCTCCTTCTGTTTGTGGTAAAAAGTGTAAAAGTAGTCGGTTTCGTCGGTGTCGAAAACGTCCAAATGAATTACTAATAATCCATTAAATAGCCGGACTGCATAATGGCTGTCACTAAGTAGGCGTGTCCTAATCGCCGCAAAAGAATTCTACTGTATTTGCCGCCGGCGACAACAGCTGAGATCGGGGAAACCAATCAATTAATTAAAGGTTGGAATACTAATTAGGGAGTTAAAAAAAAAATTAATGCACGAGATATTTTCGTTTTAGGATAACATTAACACTGACAAACCTAGTTTTTAAAATAACTCTAACATTTACAAACTGTCACTTAAATGTAATTAATAATTAAGTATTAGAATATATTTAAATTTCTTTAGCTAAAGTAAAGACCAAATTATAATTTGCTAATTGTTTATTAAATTAAAATTCATGAATAATTATTTCAGTAAGATATTTTAATTAAATTCCATTTTTGATTTAAATAAAAATGAAGTGGGGAAATCTAAATATGGCATAAAATAAATTTCGCTCACGGAAAGCATTAGGGAAATCAAAAACCAATAATGAGCCACAGCCGCATTCCGAAACATGGCAAAACTCATTTGAGGGGAATCGGAATCTACTCGGTAGCCAGTCACAATGTTTCCAAAGCCCCCGGAGATGTCCGTCTTTGGTGACTTCTGTTCGAGCTCCCTGCCTGATTTGTTCTGAAAAACTCCGTCTATGGGAGATTTTTTCCATCATCTCCAATGTCCAGCCTCCTGTCGCCCCTCACAGGTGTGCTGCTAAAATAGTTGACTAATTAATTTATAATGCAATTCCACTGCGATCGAAGTGTGCAAGGTGGGCAAAGGTGGTTGATGGGGGGTAAAGCTGGAGGAGGATGATCGCTACCATTTGCAACATGGAAACCGTTTTAATACACACCACAACCAGCACCATTGAGCCACTTGAACCACCAGCAGCCGCCGCCTAATCATTGTTTATGACATGGTTAGCCACTGACCAACCATTTGTTTTCACAGAAAAAAAAAACAAGAAATTCTTATTAGCATATTAAAATATTTGCAAAGATACCATATGACATTAATTTTAGATCAAATTATTTAGATTTAGACTGGCAGATCGGAAGATTCTTGACACTGCTTAATTTGTAAAAATCAATTTAAAAAAGACAATACAAATTTTTACTACTTTTGAGATAATTTAAAATTTTTTTAAAGATCAAAATAAGGAATTTAAAAGCATAAGAGTTTTTTTTAAATTTATTATTTAAGTTAAATATTGTTATATGAAGAAAGCAAGTCGTAGACTACTGAACAAATATAACATATATGGAAATTGTTTCCCGTGTGGAGGATAAAGTCAGGTCTTCACAGTCTTTCTCCGCAGAATCTCAGGTTGTGTGGCTCTCCCCATTTCCCCCAGTCTTTCCCCCCTTGCAAGGGAAATTTATGCAAATGGCCGTACAGATCTTTCCAAAGCTTTTGCGCAATTATCCCCCAGAAAAAGAAAATGCGAGGAGTCGGGGAAAGACCTCACCTGCTGCAGCATTTGGTATTTGATTGAACTCAAGTGTGCCAGATGCGTAATGAGTTGATGGGGCAAGGGATCCAATGTGCGAAAGGGGATGTGTTGAGGAGAGGGGCGGGGAAAAGCCACGGTTGCGGGGGGTTGAGGAGGGAGGGGGCCCAACACGTGACAACTGCGGTGCGGTCAATCGAAACTGAAAATCAATTGGAAATTCCTATTAATACCAGAAGAAAATTCAAAACAACCGAAACCACGGCAAGTAGAAGAAAAACCACTTGCATGTGGGTGAAACAATTCTTGTTTGTTTTTCTGGCACAGTGGTTCTCGGATTATTTATATAATTTGTGTCAACATGTAAAAAAAATAAAATATAGTTTAAGATAATATATTTAATAAATAACTGTAATAACTAAGTTGTCCTCTATTAGAAAATGAATTAATGAATTATTAAGGCACAATAGCGAAACTTGTTCTTTCCTATTTTGTATGACCAACAATTCAAGAAATTATTTCTATATTTTTAATGTATATTTTTTATAACGAGAAAATATTTACACAACAATACATTTACAAACTATAATTAACCATGGAAAATTAACGTTAAACGTGAGATTTTGTTACTATAAATAATGGTCAATTGTAGCACTGTGCGGACAACGGCATTTGTGCAAGAAAACAACTGTTGCTGAAACCTCCGATTCTCCTTAACCCGGGCCAATGCCCAAAATGCAAATCGCCGCCGAGCGATCGAACTGGAGTACTCGCATATATCTGATGCTGATGCCGATGTTCTGCATTCAGATCGCCGCGTTGACAATTTGGTCGTTGGTCGCGCCAAGGCTTTTCCTTGCATTCGGGGGAAACCGCTAGACGCGACTACAAACGACCGGATGAATGGGTACCAGATATCCAAGACTCAAGACCGAAGACCGAAGACCCAGTACCCAAGACCCAAGACCAGACAGAGATTTCGATGTGAGAATAATCGCGGAACGGCAATCGCGAATTAGGTTTTGCAATGTGGATGGAAATTTGGCGAGTACGCACGCCAGGCAGCCGCAGGTGACCGCTCCTCGGATCACGAGCTGCAACGTGATGTGGGCAAATCCGCAGGGAGATCGCAGATGCGAAGCTAAATATATACCCAGCAGGGTTTCAAATACAAATAACACATGGTGTATTTAAAACTAAATTTACACGTAGTTTTTTCAAACATAATATTGGTTTCTGCAGATATTTTAAAGAATATAACTCACATAATCTGAAAAGTAATCTAATGGAGGCAATAATAATTGATGTTTAACTCAAACATAGAATATCATTTCTTTTATCATAATAAACTAAATTTGAATTTTCATCGAAGCAATAAACTAAGCTGAGTTAACCCATAAACAATGTAAATTAAAATCCTTTCATAAATCTATAAAAATTTAACAACTTAAACGTTTTTGTTTTGGTTTTTAAAAACTTTTAAAGCATTTTAAATATTAAATTCAATTTTAATTTGTATTAAAGCAACTAAACTTTGCTGATTATGTCCAAAATATATTTGTAATGTGAATTAATTAAGAAAACCAATCAGCAATCAACAATGACTTAACAACTTGGCAAGAGCTTTTTCTTGAAAAAAAAAAAACCTGATAGGCCGAAGAAGTTCAGAATGGTTACGGCTGATCCATGGGAACCCAGAAGCCCTCCGCTCTCCAATGAAAACAAACAATGCGTTAATATAGTTTAATTTGTTTTGCCATAAAATAAATACTCAACAAGGACCCCGCGGGGCGGAGTAGATGGCCAGGAGCAAGGCCAGCGATAAGGCTTTCAATCCACATATATTTACCTTACTCTTCTGTTTTTTTTTTTTATTTTTTTTTTTCGTTTTTAGCATTATGTTTTTAATGTGATCCCCTTTGGCTTAACCGATCAATCTTTATGGCAGCTTGCATAAAAATTTACGACTCATCATTGCCGGGAGAAGAGGAGCAGCAACAGCAACGGCAACAGCAGCGACCAGAAATATACAGAAATATGCCGATGGCCCCGACTATCGTTGAAGGTATAGTGGATGACGCCACGTCGGGTGCGGAGGACATCGTTCAGATACTTGTCGACCATATTGTTCTCCGCAAGGCACGACAGCATCAAATCATCCGGCAGCTGGATATGAAATGGAAAGCAGTACATGTGGGCGAAATCCAGTCTGATCGTTTCATTTCTTTTATTGTCCAGGCAAAAGAACGTGGCCATATCCGACAACTGAAAGCGTGCACAGTTCTGTAGCGCCGAATCCTTCAACACCACCATTATATGATCCATTGTATTGGGCATAAACAGGGAAAACGGCTCGCCGGCCTTCACGAAAGTGTCGCGAAACTTGGTGAAGGCCAGCAGTGGATAGGTGCCGCCACACTTTCGCTCTAAGATCATTTCATCCTCCAGCAAGTATTTGCATCTATCTGGGAGTCTGTTATCTTTGAGATAGACAAGAGAAAGGGCACCGCCAAAGTGGAGCAGCAACAGCCACAGATGTATCTGAATCCTGGCCAGCTCCATCCACTCACTAACCACGAATTTTATCACGATCCCAAGATTTTGTTGCAACCCGAGTACTCGGTCTTCCTATGCCTTCGATCCAATCTGCCAGTGTCGATCTCTGTGCGTCAGTGTGTCTAGCATTCGATTCATTTCTAAATGCGGCAAATATCAAAATAATTACAGGCCCACAGACAGCTGGCTAGCAGTTTGCTGAGGTCGCATGACTCACTTTCTGGAGTCGTGACTTTGTACTTTGGGGGGACTCGGAGCCATAAAAACGTAGGTTCTATTGGATTACAAAAAAATATAGAATATTATTAACAACATAGAGCTTTTCTTAAGGGAATTCTATGTCTTTAATGCAAACAGTTAAAAAATAATGTATAAAAATACATGTAAAAAAAAAAATGTAAAACAAAAAATAAATTGTATTATTATTTAAACTTTTGAAATAAATTACTTGGAAAATTATTATTATTATTTTCTCTAAGCCATTTTGATTGGGTTTAACTTTAAAAACGCCGCTTAAAGAACACCTTTATTGGCGTTATTCATTCCGCACTGCCGCTGATTTACTGCCGATTTAATTGATTCAATTACGGGGCGGCATTATTTCAATTAGGCAAATCGCAGAGAGGTGATCGGAGATCGGGGAAACTTGACATGACACGTTGAAGTCGATCCGAGTTTAGCTGAGTCGAGTCGAGTGGAGACGAGACGAGCTATCATCGATAATTATGATGAGTGCGATCCGAACCGATCCGATCGATCGATCGATCGGTTCTGATTTGCCTGCATTGCTTTGGGTGATTAATGCAACGGCAGTCTGCAGACGGCCAACTGTTTGGCTTCCTTCAATTGCCGATTGAGTGATTGACTGATTGACTGATTGACTTTTCCGGAAGAAAACACTCGGCAGATTGTGATTGCATAATCCGTTTGAATGCAACAGCAATGGTTTTTATTTAATTGATTTTTAGTCAGATTGAAAAATAATTAATTGATAAGACTTCGTTGAAAGGGCCTAAATCTCAAAGGTTTAATCTTAAGACCTGAAAACTTAATTTATTTCCTGACTTTTAATACATAAATCATAGACAAGATTCCTCCTTTTTTAAGTATTGTATTTTGATCTCCAGACTAAAATCTCAAGCTTTAAGCCCCTCTCCAAAATCCTGGCTTTTATAATCGCTGAACAAAGTTGTTGAATTCTTTATCCAAGCATTGGTTTCTGTTTTCCAAGGCAGACCCTCTTTTGGTGATCACTTCTTGATTTATCTGGCAAATCAATTTGATTCTCGCCCCACCATCTCACCCGTTGAGTTTTGTGTGCGCCCTTGAAGAATCCATTTAATTATTAGATTTCAGTCCCTCTGTGGAGAGTCTCTTAATTTAATATTGTATTTAAAACGCAGCTTTAACGGCATTCTGTCTGCCCGACTCGTTCGGTTTTGTGTACACTTTTTCGGTTTTGTTTATTTCTGGAGATTTCTGTCCGCTTGTGATGGAAATATGAATTTATTGATTTTGTCATTAATGGGGTTTCCTTTCAGCCCAGCAGGTGGCAATTGTCATGCTGCCAGTGTTGTCAACATACGCTCCGCTGATTTATGGTTCGGTGGGTTCTTCTTCTCGCCGCCGGCTTTTTCGAATTCTATATAGACGTATAGTACATATGATCGGAAGTTGGCACACCATTTGCGGCAAGTGCTGTCGTTCTCCATATTAATCGATGGGGCAACAAAGCCTGATACTTCCGCCGCCCCCTCACTTATTTTGGAATTGTGTCACGGAGAATCGGAGAATCGGAGAATTGGAGAATCCAAAATGTAGAATCGGAAGCAAAAAGGTTCGTTCAGTATGCGGACACTGTGCCAGATTTTTGGACAAAAGGGTATCAAGGGTTAGGATCACGGCGATATTCCTAGAAACAACTTCGATTTATAAAAGTTATGGGAGTGACTTTTTAAATGGAAATAAATATGACCAATGTCCAAGCCAATCTTTCATATCCTCAAGTTGAAAGCTTAAGATTATCATAATCCGATACAAAGATCGTGACAAAATCGATTCAGAAATAGACCCAAGACAGACATGATCTCAGCCCTAGCTAAATTATATGAAGAGGCAGTAATAAATGTCTTGTATTTCCAGGGTATTGCGATAGTCGCTTTTAAGTACCAATATTTTTGCACATTTTTCGTTTTCCACCTGTTCATTAATTTTTTTTATTTTTGCAGTTTTCTTCGATAGTTATATTCAATTTGGGATTCCATCAGTTTATGGTTTATTGCACTTGATATTGTCCATTATTTAAGTTTATTTCTGTGGCCATATATATTGATATATGTATATGTATATATTTCATGACGAAGGCGACCTTCCAATTGCCAATGGATTGGAGTTCGTTGGCCACTTGGCTGTCGGCGATTTTCGTGTTAATTTTTTTGTAAGCTTTTTGGATTGTTTCGTTTTTCATTTGGTTTTTTTTTTAAATTTGTTTTGGATTTTTTCTTGTGTGTTGATTGGTGGCTTGGGGAACCGTTAAACTTTTGCCCCTTGCCTTGACACCTGACACTTGACACATGACACCTGACACAGGCGACGACAGCGGTGCGGCTACACTAGAAAAAATTGCCCTGGGCGCCTCGAAATTGGGCATTGGATATTGGGAATGGGGGATTCTTGCTTCATTAATCGCTCGCAATTAAGCGCCACTTTATTTCCAACTTCACACTTTGTTCGAGGCTGCCTTTCTGTGTATGTTTTTTGTTTTTATTTTATTTACTTTCGCAGCTCCCCCTTTCTTTATTTTTTTTTTTTTTTGTTATTTTTTTGAGTCTTTGAGGTTTCGGTTTCGAATGCATTCAATCAGCGCAATTGATTGATGTCTCGCTGGCTTGTGTTGTTCGCTTGGCACGTGTTGTCTTTTTTTTTGTCAGGGTTTCACATTCCAAACCGCTAACGGACATGGAAAACCTATTCAGAGGCATCTTCGAGTTGGCCAAGATTAATTGGCGCTGGCCCTCATCGCTGGAGCGATGCAAAGAAGCTGCAAAGAAAAGACCTAAAAAAATTGGTTCAATTCGAGTGAATTAAAACTAATATTAATCAAATATGAAAACGGTGTACATTAGTCAATGGAGTTTCGGATTTTAAGACCATTTAACTAAAGGTTATTTAAAGAAAGCTTTTAAAACCACCTGTGACATAGTTAATTTGCATAAAATAAAATGTTAATCTTTAGTTGTGAGAAAAATTGTGTTCAATTCTGGAGAATTTAAAATGTGATTAATCAAATGTGAGGCTGGATTACATTAGTCAATAAGGTTTTATATTTAAAGTGCCTTTAATAACTTTTAGCTTAAAGTTATTTGAGGAAAGTTAGTTTGTTTGCATACATAAATGCAATTCTTTAGTTGTAAGAGTTTCAGATATTATTTTTCGACGATAGTAATTTAATTTAAATTGTGGAAAGATTAAATTTATAAAATTTTAAAGACTTCTTTTATGCCAACATAAACAGTAATCAGTCTGAATAGATTTTCATCAATACAAACAAGTTCAAAAAATCTAAAAAAAAATATCTTTTTATAAGAAGATTTTTTCAGCCTTGTTAAACTCGAAATTCCTCGCATTACCACCTTTTAATAAATCATAATAATGATTTATTCCGGGAAAAGTAGCATTAAAAGTAAAACCCACTCAGCTTGGCAGATTTTAATTGAAAGAATCATATCCAATTGCCGGAAGAGGGATCCGATCTTTTACCACAGATGACTGACTTAACAGCAATCACCTATGGATGGTGCTATATGTGGCGATATATAGTATGTATGTATGTTTATCTTTCTGTATGTATGTTTGTGTGTGTGTGTGTGTGTGTGTGTATCTGAGCAAGGCTCCCCTTAATCTGGTTCTGCGCACTGAGCGCATTAATTATGCGTTCCAAAGCGGTGTCTGGAATATACTATATACCACTCTACGTACATAGATATGTTCTTTTTTGGTTGCTTGCTCATCTCCTTCGGTATGAAATTCTTGGCACGAGTTGGTTAATTAATTTAATTAATGTTTTACCAAAGAGACGCCGGCGCTGGCGAAGCGTCGACTTTGACGCCGCCCCCTTAGCATTTCCCTACTCCATTCCTCGAATTTTCTACACCACTCTTCGCTGTTGTTTCTAACGGTAGCACGAATATTAAAACCGAAAAAAATCAACTTTAATGCCACACACACAGAGCGAAAGAGAGGACACTAAAAAGGCATGCACTGAAAAGATATATTGGTAACTTTTAGCAACTGCTACATAAGCTTATAAATTGCCAAAACAGACAAGTACAAAAAGTAGTTTAAAAACTGTTTACTTTTTATTCCATTACGTTTTTGGAAATCCCAATAAATATTTAAACTTATTCAAGCCTGTACTTAATTGGTTATTTTATATTCTTAAATATATGCATTAAAAAAATGTACCTTTCAAGTATTTCATACATTTTTCTCCTTGCTTTTAATTTCTTGTATTAAAGGTTTTACACATTACTAAAGTGCAATTTTAAACTAAATATTAATCTTTGTAAAATTATTTATTGTCTGTGTACAGTGGTCAAAAGAGATGCATTAATTTAAGAGATGTAGATATATTCTTTTTTATGACCATTCCCTTTGTTTGCTTCCACGCCACTTTGATGCTTCACAAAAAAAAATTGGGTTTTCATCAAAAATTATTTAAATTTCATTTCGTTTTCAATAATTCCAGCTCTCTTCGGTTTTTATTTTCAATTAAAGCCAGGTTTAATATCAACGATGGCCATAAAGTTCCTTATCATTTAGCTGCTGCCGCGTACAGCATTTTCTAATGAAAATTTATGGAACCCACCTTTACCGATCTCGGGTTTGTTGATTTTGGATTTTTGATTTTCAGTCAACTTTGGATTTTTGGAAAACCTTCTCGTGCTCGTCGATGACATTTTAAACTTGTTCAGTGATGCTTATCGACACTAAGGGGGAAGAAAGTTTTGTCTGTCACGAAGTTCCCACTCGTAAAAATTGCAATTTGTTGAATCTACGCTTCTGAAATGAGTTGGAGGAAATTCTTTAGTTTGGGAAAAAAAATTGTAGTTCAGAGAAGGAAGAAAAAAATGTCGTAAGCTCTGACAAAGGTGTTTAATGGCGTAAGCTAAAATAAA